TGAGCCGCCGTGAGCTTGGCGCCGCCGGAGGCCGGAGGGAGCGGGCAACCGCGAGACTGACTTGGAATGGGAAGGAAAATTCCATTAATCCCCCCCTCCCTCCCCTCATCCCTTCCCGAAAATACTTCAGCCCGAATGAACTCAGTAGCATCCACACAGCGCTTTCCACACACTCTGCATACACGAGTGGCAGAAAGGCAGGCGCGTACAGTGATGGTGGATTCGGCACTGTAATGCGCGCCAAGGAATAGAAAACGTGACGTTTACTGTTCAACCCTTCTCCTGCGCGCCTTCCACTCAAGAAATGGAAGAGAAAAAATGATCAAAGTCCAACATTGGAATAAAATAATAAGCTATAATGCTAATAAAGTTGCAGGGTGGTGGACCTGGAGAGCAGGTAATAATGGCGATGATTTCTTGCATAGTAAAAGAAAATGCCCTTTTATTCGACTCTGTAGCGGCTTTCAGGATGCAGCTACAGAGAATTTCAGAGTGTACTAGAGCCCTAGCGATAGGATAGCCTGCTGAGACTCTCATGGGGTTTGATGGAGCACTTTACCACAAAAGTATAAGGTAGAGACAAACGCTATGATAACTACTATTGTGAAACACAGCCATTAGGCTTTACAGTGTCCATTGGCACTATTACACCTTTAACTGTTTTGCAGCTGTTTTGGTTATAAGTGGAAATTGGCTTTGTTATAAGGTAATACAACCCTGTAGTATATAACCCATCGAGCACGTTTCATAGTTTATAACTAATTGATCTGCAGATCTCAATCAGCAGTTTCTGGAAAGAAAGCGGGGTATCAACTTTGACAATGCGGCTCAGAAGCCTGTTCCACACTCCCACCACCCTTTGTGTAGAGAAGCGCCTCCTGTTCTCGGTTTTAACTGCATTTCCACGCAGCTTCTACTTGTTGTTTCACTGGTCCTTCTGGAGAGGCCCGCTGGGTCGACCTGGTCAGTGTCTTCGAAGAGTCTGAATACTGACATCGGGTCCCCCTGATTTCCTTCTCTTTGCAAGACCACAATGCTCCAGTTCCTTCAGCCTGTCAGTGAACGTGCTTCTCTCTGGACTGACTTCAGAGCAGTAGTGCCTTTTTTTGTAACATGGTGAGCAGAATTGCACACAGAATTCAACATGAAGTCTTACCGGTGCATCGTCCAACTGAAACATGATACCCTTGATTTAAATCCAACGCTTTCAACTTTCTATGCGAATGTTTGATCTTTTTTATAGCTTCCCCACCTTGTCTAGATGCAAGTGTTGTCCACAGAAAGCCTTTTTTGTAAGTAGCCTTTTCGAGCTGATTGTTTCCAATTTCGTATTCATGGTTTGTCTTTTTGCTCCAAAATGTCATACTCTCAGTCGGTTCTTTTGTTTAATGTCATCTGCCGGGTGTTTTGCCAAGTCTTGAATTTTATCTAAATCTTTTTGAATTCTCTACAGTGTTTGCTTATCCTCCTGCTGTGATATTGTCTGCAAACCTGACTAGTTCAGCTGCTATACAAGAATCTGGATAACTGATAGAATCAGGAAGAGCAGTGGTCCAAACACAGGTCCCTGCGGTACTCCACTAATTACACGACCCCAGTCTGAACCTTTTACCCTTTAGCAGTGCCCTCTGGTTTCTGTTAACTGCTTCTCAGTCCGGTTGTATCAGTTCTGGAGTCAGAACCCGGACTACGGTCCATTTGGGTGTCACACCAGACAGGTTGTTATTGTTCATGAGCTGTCCCATGTGGTAGTTTATCTTGATTATTCGTACGCGATTGTAGCAATTTGCCCAGTTTACCTTTATCAACATTTTGGCTCTGCACATATTTTAACTTTCCTCCTAGTGTATCTGTCCTCTTCCACTTCATCACCACATCCTGCCACGGCTTTACTGTAGTATCCCACCCACTTTGTTCTTGCTGCAGAGTAAGAGTACTGTGTTATTTTGTCACTACTGGTGAGAAGAAAAATCCCTTTTCGAGCTCGTTAACTGACACCCGCATGGTTTTTTACTGTTCAAGCAAGAAAGTTCTGGTTGTAGGTCATTCCATTTATGACAGGCCTGTCCTACCCTGGTCCTGCAGGGGGCGCTGTGTCTGCAGGGTCTCCAGGTCTCTTTAAAGTAGGGGCACCTGAAGAGTTGAGAGCAGCTGTTAAACTGGTCCGATAAAGCCAGTATCCAGTTGGTCCAGCTCGTTAAGAGCCAAGTTAGACCGCAAACCTACAGACACACCACACCTCCACGCCAAGGACTGGATATTTCTGCTTCATTCACCCCTGCAGGTGCAACGGGGCTTGAAAACACGCAGGTGTTTAAAAGGACCAAAAAAACACTCTATCCCACCGCGGCAGGTAGGAGAGCGACGTGCCTGTGTATCGGAGCGGAGCTGCAGGCTGCCGGCACAGTGAGCTCTCGGCAACAGATGTGAAGATTTCTGGCGGTTACTTCTTTCGTCCGCGAACACCGTTACTGAGACACAGTGCTCCAGCCCCGCGAGAGTCATCTCACTTGCACGATCGCGGTGACGCCGAACGGTGTCAACTACGCTCAAGCCCTCGCTGTCTAATTAAAGACTCTCGGTGACGTCGACACCCCTGCGGATCAACTCGATCTCCCGTCTGCTGGTTTAGAGGAGAGCTCGGGCTTTTTATCCGCAGAGCGACCGGTTCGCGATGAGCGATTGAAGTATTTAAAGTTTCCTTCAGGAAACAATCCTGAGACAAGTGAGGGGGAATCGACGCACGGTGCCGTTCTCCTTGGGGGGGGCCGGCGAAATTAAACTATTAAAATGAAAAAAAAAAAAACACGGTCTTTGTGGAATTGAAATAACACATGATGTCATCGTGCAGGAAGTAGAAATATTTTGTCCATATTACAACAAAACAGAAATATACCGACGCACGCCTTGCCGAAGTGTATTCCTGTGTGTTACAATCAGTTGACTATGGGAGACAGCGGTGGCACGGTGGTGGTGGGGGGTTCGTGTGAGTCGTGTGCGGGCAAAGACATTTTAATCTCCAGACTGTGACGCCACTATCGCTGATTAGAACTGCCCAGGTTCCGGGCCGTGTGCTGATCGGGGCGTGACGTCACTCGGCGCTGTCAGGGCGACGCGCGGCGCAGTGCGGTGCGGCGGTGACGGAGTCCGAGTGTCCCTGTTGTCTTCTCGCAATTTCAGCAGGAGCAGTTAGGGCTAGATCCACGCTGAGGGGACGAAAGAAGGAATCGTGCCGGCTGTGGACCCTTCTTCGGGTGTGCAGGAAGGAGAGGGCTGCGCAGCCGAGGCGTCGTTTCTCCTTGCGGCTCTTTAGCGTGGAATTGACCTTAAACGTACAGTATTCCTCTTCAGCCATCGCACGCTGACGCACGTCCGAGCTCGATCCGCTATTTAATCGTACACCGTCCCTACCCAGCCTCTTCAAACGTCATGTGCTCTGTGTGCTGTTGTTAAACGGCCGTGCGCCTGTGTCGAGAGTTTAAAGCGCTTCTGCGGTCGCTAGTTAAACAAAACCTGTAGCATTCCTGTGGCGCTCACTGGGGGGGATTGTCGGCAGCTTTCGATACGGAAAGCTTCACTTCCAGACCGGCTCCAGGCACCCTTGCTGAAGTTCATTAAATTAAATACAAATACTGAACATATAAATCCTAATATATAGGAAGTAGCTGCATACAAAGTAGTTGACATATTAAGATGGGAGGTTGTGTTGTGTGTGAGCTCCTGCACACCAGCCGACTCGGGGTTCGGTTGGGTCCCTGTGGGGGATGCGTGAGTTCTGCCCGGTACCAGAGACGATCACAGCAGATTGCGTGAAGTCGTCTGAGCTCTGGAGCGGCCCTCACCGTCTTGTCTTCTGAACGTGTGGCGTGTGTAAAAGGTGACACCGCCGATTGGCACTGATATTGCAAAGCGGAAAAATCCTGCCGTGTGTTTCCGTGTTTGCCGGCGTCGTGTGTGTTTTCTCCCCCGAGAAAGATCTTGCATGAGGAGGCTAAACTCGCCGTGTCGACGAACGTCAAGAGCGCAGATTTCTCTGCGCAGAAAAAAAAAGTGTAATCGGACAGCCAGCAAACGAGATTTCCGGAAACATAATCGACAGCGATGAACATTACAACCGGGGAAGGCTCAGAAGTCGGACTACTATTTTTTTATGTGTGGAGACAGACTTTCTTTCTCCAAAGCCGAGTAGAGGAGCGACCGCATTCCAAAAAAACCCCCCCGATCTTTCTCACCTCTTTGATCTCCCTCGGATCGCGGCGCACCGGCCTGACAACGGACACGAAATTAAACTTCCTTTAAAGTTCCCACCCGAGTCGGAAAACAGTGCTGTTTTCAGCATAATCGTAGATATTCAGCAATGCGAAAGTACTCATTGTTATCGTTAGCATAATGGATGGGCTATTTTTAAAACAATTTAGGGTACACAACAGAAATAAAACAATACAAGGGTTCTTTTTGACCTTTATATTGTCTTATTTTATTGTATTTTTTCCCTAAATAATTCAGAACCTTAATTCCGAATGCAACAGCAGCAGCCTAGTATAGACCACAGTATTTTTCTGTTTTAAAACGGCAAAAACAAGAGATTATGTAGGCATCGAATATTAAGCATGGTCAGATTTAAAAAGACCTTGAGATTGGCTGACACAGAGGAGCGCTGAAAATAAACCACAGCGTTTTTTTGGGAAATTCTCTCGGCGTCCTATCTCGCTAATCGCAGACGGACGGTGCGGATTTCTGACAGGACGGGACTCGGATGACTTCTGCGCCCAGAGAGATCCCTCATTCTGCACCTCTGCGTCCCGCGGGGTCTGTCAAAGGGGCTCTTAATCGGCTCCAGCAATAGCTGGATGTCTATCTCGCTTTCGCCCGTGTCCCGCCATTCACAACCCAATGTTAGCGGTCACTGCGCTTCAACACCGAGCGTCTCGAAAACTGGACTTCGCTCCGTCCCCTCTCGCATCGCTCAGTCACGGTAAAGATATGAAATCTTCTCCTACCTGCCGTGGTATCGCTGTCCTCGTCGTTAGAGAGAGAGAGAGAGGGGGAAAAAGTGCAGGAATGTGTTGTTCTTTCTTCTAGAAACCGGATGCTTTCTTCTCCCCTCGTTCTGCTTCAATCGAGCGGGTAGACGGACCCTCGGTCTTCGGAAAGTGAGCTTGCCGGTGTCGGCTCGCTCCAGTGACTTCGCTGGAGCCGCAGGTCTTTGCCTGCCGGCAAAATGAAATCGCGGTTCACTTTAGCCCCCGGGATAAAGAGGAGACGGGGAGGGAGAGAGCTTCACGTTTTGCTTTAAAAATTGAGATGGATTACGTTCTGACTGCGGAACCAATGGCCTCCTGCCCGCAATCCCTCTCGTGGAAACTGCGTGGAGTTGCCCGGTCTGCCGGCAGTGGCCCCGGTGGGCAAAGACGGCGCTTGACCGCAGACCTCTCCCCCGGCGCAGCCCCGCTTGTGCCGCGGTCAGTCCCGCCTCCCCCGCCGGCGCTCCGCAGAGCCGAGACAGGAGCTGTCCGCGCCCGACGGTGCTGAAGGCGCGACTGATCGTGCGCGCAGCCCCCCTTAGTGCAGAGCAGTGGACTCTGCGTGTTCTCACCCCCAGCCTCTCGCACTGAGCCACAAACCCCCCGACTTTTTTTTATTTTGGTCGCCGGCACACCTGGTATCCTTTAAAACAACCCCCAAACGCTTGAAAAACCGCAGACGGGTGGGGTGGGGGGGGGACCCGGGCTGGGTATTTAAGTGACTTTATAGGTGAGTTACCATTTTCCACCCGTCCGGAGAGGTTTTGATTGAAGAAGATCTGGAGCTGAGCTCGCTCTGGTTCCGTTAGGTCCTGGTGATTTGTAGAAATGTAGTTTCCGAAGAGACGCGATCCAACTGACGTGCAACCCGCTTTTTGCTGATGTCTGCGGGACGGGAA